AAAGTGCTGGGATTACAGACGTGAGCCACCACACCCAACCTGAAAATATGCACTCTTAATTCCACTAAATATCTTGCAGAACGTCTATTCCAATGTGTCCTCCCATCAGCAGCTTCTCCCACAACCTTGACAGCACTTGACTTCCTCCTAATGTTTGTCAATTGGATGGGTGTAAAGAGATGGCTCACGCGTGTTTGATTTCTCTGGTTAGTCACTAGCGATTGTAAGCATGTCTTCATAGACGCATTAGAACCCCAGGCTTCCTCACCTGTGAACTGCTTGTTTATACCTGGTGCTACTTTTCCAATAGGGTTCCTGTGGACTTCTTCATCTCGGGCTCCTTCTGTGTTGAATGTCTTCCATTTGTCCTTCCAGATCCACTCTCTATCCTTCTCCAGGTTGTTCTGTGGACTGGGAGGCTGAGCGGTATGACTGCATCAAATTGCTCCCTTGCCATCTGGCTTCCAGCCCTGTTCCAGGAAGAGAGGGAAGTGAGGATATTAACTCCCTGGCCCCTCCCTGCAGAGTGACTGTGGGCTAGCTGACCCCTGCAACTGAGTAGCACAGCTGCTGTTGGGAGGTCCTCTCCCTGCGGTCCTGAAGGTGGTAACAGCTCCCCACTCTGGGATGCCTGGGTTCTTGCACCATTTCCCGTGGATTCCCTAAGCCTGTTCACACCTTTGCAGCTAGTCCCTATATTATGAAATCTTGCGCTTACCCATTTTTGGGTGTGCCATCTGTTGCTTGCTGGGAGCCTACCTGATACACTGCTGTTGAACTGAAATTTATAATTTTCATGCAATTTCACAAATTTTTTTTGGCTTTTTGGAACGTGCCTTGGAGGCCTTATTTAACAAGCTCTTCAGCTGGGCGCGATGGCTCACACCTGTAATCCCAGCACTTTGGGAGGCCGGGGTGGGTGGATCATGAGGTCAGGAGGAGACCAGCCTGGCCAACATGGCGAAACCCTGTCTCTATTAAAATACAAAAAATTAGCCTGGCATGGTGGCTCACACCTGTATTCCCAGCCACTTGATAGGCTAAGAAAGGGAATCGCTTGAACCCGGGAGGCGGAGGTTGCAGTGAGCCGAGATTGCACCACTGCACTCCAGCCTGAAGACAGAGCAAGACTCCATCTCAAAAAAAAAAAAAGAAGAAGAGGAAGAAGCCCTTCTATACTGGTAGTATAGATTTTTCTTTCTTTCTTTGTTCCTACTAGTTCTGTAATTTTACATTATATGTTTAGGTCTTCAATCTATCCAGCATCCACCTTTGTCTGTGATGTTAGGTATGAATCCGGTGTTACTTATCTTCATAGAGAGCCAGTTTTCCCAATAATGTCTTTCTTCTACCAATTCAAGATGTTACCTTTATTGTATATTAAGTTTCCATGTATGCACAGTTCTGTCTCTAAGCTCTTTATTCTATAACATTGGTTTATCTGTCTGTTCTTGTATTGTTACTGTGCTATTTTTATTACTATGGCTTTGTAATCTATTTTAATGTCTAATAAGGCTAGTTCCCCCTTCCTCCAATTTCTCATTTCTTCCCCATTTTGACTTTTATCTTGCCACATATACTTTTTTTAAAGTTGTTGCATTGCTTTTAAAAATCCAGTTGAGGCCGGGCGCAGTGCCTCACTCCTATAATCCCAGCACTTTGGGAGCCTGAGGCAGGTGGATCACCTGAGGTCAGGAGTTCAAGACCAGTCTGGCCAACATGATGAAACCCCATCTCTACTAAAAATACAAAAATTAGCCGGGCGTGGTGGCACCTGTACCCCCAGCTACTCGAGAGACTGAGACAGGGGAATTGCTTGAACCTGGGAGGCAGAGGTTGCAGTGAGCTGAGATTCCGCCATTGCACTCCAGCCTGGGTGACAGAAGGAGACCCTATCTCAAAAAAAAAAAAAAAAGTCTATTGAAAATTTTATTTTTATTGCATTGAATGTATATGTTAATTTGGAAATAATTTAAGTTTTTTCTTGTATGTTCTTCATGTGTTATTGTGGTGACAGCAGGCTAATACACGTGCCGAAGCCTCTCATTAGGTCGAATTTTTTGTTTGTTGATGGTGCCGATTTTCTGTATGGATGAGCATATTGTTTTATCTCTTCCTTTCCAATTCTTGCAACTTTTAATGTCTTTTTCTGTCTTGCACAGTTTGGCTAGCATGCCCAGGATGATTCTGAACAGCAATAACAGCAGTATAATGGAGGCTTCTAATTACCCCTAATATCAATTATCTCCTTCTTGCTACACCAGGGGTCCAGAAACATCTCCTATAAAGGGCCAGATAGCAAATATTTTAGGCTTACCAAGTCATACAGTCTTTATCATAACTACTCAATTCTGCTGTTGCTGCACAAAAGCAGTCATAAATGACATATAAACAAACAAGCATGGCTGTGTTCCAATAAAACTCTATTTACAGGCCAGGATCCGTGGCTCATGCCTGTAACCCAGCACTTTGGAGGCGAAGGTGGGTAGATCACTTGAGCACAGGAGTTCAAGACCAGCAAGAGCAACATGGTGAAACCTTGTCTCTACAAAGAATACAAAAATTAGCAGGGTATGGTGACTTGTACCTCTAATCCCAGCTACTTGGGAGGCTGAGGCAAGAGGATCACTTGAGCCTGGAAGACAGAAGCTGCAGTGAGTCAAGATCATGCCACTGCACTCCAACCTGGGTGACAGAGCCAGACCCTGTCGCCAAAAAAAAAAAAAAAAAAAAAAAAAAAAAAGCTGGCCAGGTGCAGTGGCTCACACCTGTAATCCCAACACTTCGGGAGGCTGAGATGGGAAGATCACCTGAGGCCAGGAGTTCGAGAACAGTCTGGCCAACATGGTAAAACCCCGTCTCTACGAAAAAAAAATACAAAAAATTTGCTGGGCATAGTGGCGCATGACTGTAATCCCAGCTACTTAGGAGGCTGAGGCATGAGAACTGCTTGAACCTGGGAGGTAGAGGTTACAGTGAGCTGAGATTTTGCCATTGCACTCCACGGAATGTGTCATGACAGGAGGGGCAAACATCTTGAAACACGTGATGGAAGCCATAGGTTGAAACGATGGAGCAACAAGGTGGAAACAGCTAGAGTCCAGAAAGATTTCATCATAAATCAGAGCTGAACTTTTGCTGAGTGTTTTTTCTGCATTGTGTAATTGTTTTCTTTTGTACACCTTTAATCTGTTTTTCTGTACTCCCTAAATCTACTATATTAACATTAACAGATTTTTCTTATGTTAAACCATCTTTGAATTCTTGGCATATATACTACTTGAACATGTTATCTTTTTTATTTTTTTATTTTTGTTTGTTTGTTTGTTTTTTGAAATGAATCTGGCTCTGTCGCCCAGGCTGGAGAGCAGTGGCGCGATCTTGGCTCACTGCAAGCTCCGCCGCCAGGGGTCACGCCATTCTCCTGCCTCAGCCTCCCAAGTAGCTGGGATTACAGGCACCCACCACCACGCTCAGCTAATTTTTTTTTTTTTTTGTATTTTTAGTAGAGAGTTGGTTTCACCATGTTAGCCAGGATGGTCTCCATCTCCTGACCTCGTGATCCGCCTGCCTCAGCCTCCCAAAGTGCTGGGATTACAGGTGTGAGCCACCGCGCCTGGCCATGTTCTCTTTTTTAATGCTGCATTTGATTTGATAGGCTAATATCTGATAAAATAATTTTAGGCCGGGCGTGGTGGCTCGTGCCTGTAATCCCAACACTTGAAGGTGGATCCAAGCAGGCGGATCACTTGAGGCCAGGAGTTTGAGACCAGCTTGGCCAACATGGCTAAACCCCATCTCTACTAAAAACACAAAAATTGGCTGGGCACAGTGGCTCACGCCTGTAATCCCAGCACTTTGGGAGGCCGAGGCAGGTGGATCACAAGGTCAGGAGTTCAAGACCAGTGTAGCGAGACTCCCTGAAACTATTGCTACAGAATAAAGATGAAATGCTCCTGATTACTGTAAATACAAAATTGCATGCAGAATTGTGTAAAGACAATGCCAGGTTGGGCTGCCAGAATGAGCCAACAGAGCGTGATGTGCTTCCCCCTGCAGAGATCTATGAATGGACGTGCAATCAGGGAGGTTTCACATCACCAAGATTCCTATCCCAGAAAAGCAGATGTTCATAGTTCTGGGAATGGAATGCGACTCTTGTGTAGAGCCTATAAATGGACGCATGAGGGGCGCCTGTTCATATTCATAAGATAGGGTTATAAACGCCCTTATCTTGCCACGGCTCTTCTAGGTCTCTTTAGCATTAAGGCATACTCCTGAGAATTTTTGGTCTAACCGGTTGTCTAGCTTCATGTCTTGTTTCTATTGATTGTTTGCAACCAGCTTTTGCTGCATCTGTTACTGCTGATTAATATCTTGCTCATCATAGGTTAGGGATAGACTGTGTTTCTGTTTTAAGGCTCTGTTAGAAATTGCTGACGCACACACTATATTGTAAGTTGTTTTCTCCGTATACTGTACTTCTGCATACAGATGTTATGTTAAAGAATTACTTCATCCCCATGTGACCATCTCACCTCATAATCAAACGACCCTAAATCCCTCACTAACCTACCCCTGCCCTCACTAAACTTAATAACAAATACTGGTATATCCAGTGCATTTGCAGCATCACAGGACCAGAAGGCAGTGACTCCCTGGACCCAGCTTTCACTATCTTGTGTGTGTCTCGACCTGCCAATCCATTTGGGAACAATGAAAGAGTTCCGTTGCATTGTGGGTTGCTGGCCAGATCCTGCAATAGACCAGCCTGGCCAACATAGTGAAACTCTGTCTCTATTAAAAATACAAAAAATTAGCCAGGCGTGGTGGTGGGCGCCTGTAATCCTAGCTACTTGGGAGGCTGAGGCAGGAGAATAGCTTGAACCCAGGAGGCAAAGGTTGCAGCAAGTGGAGATTGCACCACTGCACATCAACCCGGGCAACAGTGTGAGACTTCATCTCAAAAAATAATAATAATAATGATAATTGGCCGGGCATGATGGTGTGCCCCTCTAATCCCAGCTACTCGGAAGACTGAGGCACAAGAATTGCTTGAACCTGGGAGGCAGAAGTTGCAGTGAGCTGAGATCACACCACTGCACTCCAACCTGGGCAGCAGAGCAAGACTCTGTCTCAATTAAAAAAAAAAAATAGAATTTTACATTCCTGGTCATTATAATGAAAAGCCTCCATTTGGAAATTGTTAGAGTTTGATTAATGGCCCAGTATTTGCTAAATTTTTTGAGAATGTCTGAGTATACTTGAAAAGAACAGGTATTCCACTGGGTATGGGGGCTTATGGCTATAATTCCAGCTGTTTGGGAGGCTAAAGCAGGAGAATCGCTTGAGCCCAGGAGTTTGAGACTTGCCTGGGCCACATAGCAAGACCCCTATCTCAAAAAAAGGGGGGGGGGAGTATTTTGTATTTGACAAGTACAGTGTACTAAATGTGTCCATTAGATCATAATAGTTCAATCTGGGATTCAAAACATCTTTGTCCTTATTGTTTTGTCTGCTTGATCTATCAATTACTGAGAGAGATATTTTATAATCTATTATGAATGTAAACTTGTCTGTTTTCTTATACCCCTAAAATTTTTGCTTCACATATTTTTGTGGCTATCTTATTCAGTGCATGCATATTTAATACTGGTGTATCTTCCTGTTGAATCGAACTTTTTCTCATTAGGAAGTGATCCTCTTTTTTTTTTTTTTTTTTGAGACGGAGTCTCGTTTTGTCGCCCAGGCTGGAGTGCAGTGGCGCAGCTCACTGCAAGCTTCTCCTCCCAGGTTCACACCATTCTCCTGCCTCAGCCCTCCGAGTAGCTGGGACTACAGGCGCCCGCCACCTCGCCCGGGTAGTTTTTTGTATTCTTTTTAGTAAAGACAGGGTTTCACCGTGTTAGCCAGGATGGTCTCGATCTCCTGACCTTGTGATCCACCCGCCTCGGCCTCCCAAAGTGCTGGGATTACAGGCGTGAGCCACCGCGCCCGGCCAATCCTCTTTATCTCTAATAATACTTTTTGTCATAAAGTGTACTTCATGGCTGGGTGCGGTGGCTCACACCTGTAATCCCAGCACTCAGGGAGGCCGAGGCGGCTGGATCATGAGATCAAGAGTTCAAGACCAGCCTGACCAAGATGGTGAAACCCCGTCTCTACTAAAAATACAAAAATTAGCCAGGCGTGGTGGCAGGTGCCTGTAGTCCCAGCTACTCGGCAGGCTGAGGCAGATAATTGCTTGAACCCGGGAGGCAGAGGTTGCAGTGAGCCGAGATCATGCCTGGGCAACAGAGTGAGAGTCCATCTCAAAAAAATAATAATAATGAATAAAAATAAAATAAAATAAAGTGTGCTTCGTATGATAGTCATTTGGTTGGAATTTGACCAATGTGTCTTTCATCATTTTGCTTCCAGCCTGTTTCAGATGTGCTTCTTGGGCATATAGTTGGATTTTATTTTTTATTCTGTCTGGAAAGGTTTTTGGCTTTTAACAAGATAACTTGGTATTTTGCATTTAATAAAATCAGCAACATACGTGGATTCGTAACCAACCTTTTGTGTTTTTTCTTATCTACCTCTTCTGAGTTTTTTTCTCCTTTATTCTGTTCCTTTAGTTTAATATTTTTTCTTCGTTTTTCCTGCTTATAAGTTTGAAAGTTATAACCCGGCTTCTAAGAGATTTGCCTAAAAATTACAATAATGGCAGGAAAAACACTGTATTTGCTTTACTGTTTTAAATCGGGAAGTGTTATGTAATTATATCCCCTATGTCTCTACTTATGTAATCTTTCTCCTTTCTAAAGTTATGTCTGTGTCTCCTTTTTTTCTCCTTCATATTTATTTTATTTGCCTTTTTTTTTTTTTTTTTGAGCAGGGAATCGTTGGCTCTGTTTGCCCAGGCTGGAGTGCAGTGGCACAATCTTGGCTCACTGCAACCTCCACCTTCCTAGTTCAAGCAATTCTCCTGCCTCAGCCTCTTGAGTAGCTGGGATTAGAGGCGCCCACCACCACACCCGGCTAATTTTTTTGTATTTTTAGTAGAGGTGGAGTTTCACCACGTTGGTCAGACTGGTCATGAACTCCTGACCTCAGGCAATCCGCCCATCTTGGCCTCTCAAAGTGCTGGGATTACAAGTGTGAGCCACCACGCCCGGCCTTATTTGTCTTTTTAAGCATCAAATTTTACTTTTATTGACCATATGTACATTTTTATTTTCTAGTTCATTATTTCTGCTTATAATTTTGTAAGTTCTTTTCTTCTACTTTAGGGGATTTATCTTATTCTGTTTCAAGTTTCCTGAGTTGAAACAGCATATTTCAAGTCAGCCTTTCTTGCTTTTAATAAAAGTGTTTATCTTTGAGACCAGCCTGACCAAAATGGTAAAAATCCCATCTCTACTAAAAATATAAAAACTTAGTTGGGCGTGGTGGCAGGTGCCTGTAATTCCAGCTACTTGGGAGGCTGAGGCAGAAGAATCCCTTCAACTCGGAAGGCAGACATTGCAGTGAGACGAGGTCACGCCATTGCACTCCAGCCTGGGCAACAAGAGCAAAACTTCATCTCAAAAAAATAAAAAATAAAAATGAAAATTAATAAAAAATAAAAGTGCTTATCTCTACCTACATTTTCTCCCGATAACTACTTTGACCACCTCACGGTTTCAGCATATACAGTACTCTTGTAATTCATTTCTAAATCGCTTGACTTTTTCATTTCGATTTTCTCTTAAAAACTCAGAATTACTTAGGAAGTAATACAAAAAAAGATGGTGAGAAAATTGTATGTTGATAGATCTCTTCTTGGCTGTACTTTCATGTTCATTTCTAACCTTATTTTACTGTGGTCAGAGCATTGTTCCTTTTAGGAATCACTTGAGGTCTTGTTTATGGGTGAATACTTCGGCAATTTTTGTTCACAATTCTATGTCTGTGAACGCTGCTTCTGTTTGCTGTAATGAATGCAAAGGACACCAGTGAGTTTCATTCAAAGTTGTTGAGGCACTCAACAAATTCGGGTGGTTCTGCCAGGCGTGGTGGCTCACGCCTGTAATCCCAGCAGTTTGGGAAGCTGAGGCGGGCAGATCACCTGAGGTCAGGAGTTCGAGACTAGCCTGGCCAAATGGTGAAACCCCATCTCTACTAAAAATACAAAAATTAGCTGGGTGTGGTGGTGCACTCCTGTGATCTCAGCTACTTGGAAGGCTGAGGCAGGAGAATCACCGCGGAGGTTACAGTGAGCTGAGATCGTGTCATTGCACTCCAGCCTGGGCAACAGAGCACGACTATTTCACCAAAAAAAAAAAAAATTCGGGTGGTTCTGTTCCTGGGGGTATCGCTCGAAGTAGGATGGTCTTCAGTAAGATGGCTTGTTTACAGCTGGGACACAGAGAACAGAATAATTTGCCCAAACTCACATATCTCTAAATAACAAAGTCTGGCCATTCTGGCCCAAAGCCCATACAGTTATCATAATGCTACAACGCCCGCCAAGGCTTCCTAATGCCAAACAGCCCACTCCTGCTTCCGAATCCCCAATAACCAGATAACTCATAGAACGTTTAGGTATATTTCTTTTTACTCTAAAAAAAAAAAAAAAAAAAAAACTTGACAATGATAACGTGCAAACTGCAGAAAGCGCCACGAGTTTCAAGCCCCCCACCTTCCCAACATCATCCTATCCTTCCCCTTCCCTTAAAATCCTACATGAAAATCCCCGAGAAAGCAGAAGAGGCCCCCAGACGGGCGGATTCCCAACCCCGGACCCCTGCGGCAGGTCGAGGCACTGAAGAAATAAATTAAAGGAGAGGTGGCTCCTGACTGGCCTTGTCCAGCTCTGTCTCGCAGACCCAGCGGTAGGGCCTCTGGCAGACGTCGTCGTTCCAGCGGCCGTCGTCGGTGAAGTGGGCACAGTCCTCCCCTCCCCCGAGCCCGTGGCCGTACCAGTCGTCCGGCTGCTCCGGTCTCCAGTTCCTGGGGACAGAGCCAGCTGTGGGCCCCAGGAGGTCGGACCCGCGGCCAGGTCGCTCCAGACCCCCCCGCCCAGGGCCCCAGGCGGGAAGGCGGCCGGACCCAGGCCGAGGGAGGGCGCGCACTCACTTGAAGCCCGTCTCGTAGTCCGTCCCGTCCACCCACTTCCAGGGCCCGTTTTGGTCGTGGAGGCCCATCCAGGTGTTCACAGGACCTATGTGGTGCTGGACAAATTTCTGAGGAGAGAGGAGGCGGGTGGTGATCTCTCCCCGAGGCCAACCGGCCTCCCAGACCCTCCGGGTCCTTACCTGCTCCTCCCAGGACGTGACCACCACCAGGTGCGCGTCCTCCAGCCGGCAGTAGTTGTCGGCGTCGGCCCAGGCCTTCCCGGAGCGAGAGAACCAGTAGCAGCTGCGCTCGTGCTCCACCCAGTTGACTGGGCAGCAGGCCCTTTCTGAGCCTGAGCGGGAGAAACCGGGCGCAGGAGCTAAGGCGCTGCCCGGGGGCGCGCGGGAGGCAGAGAGCGGGCCGGGCTGGCCTCCTCACCATTGCCCTGGAGCGCCGCCATCTGACAGCTCAGGCTCCGCAGGTCAGACACGAACTGCTTCACGTGGAGCAGCAGGCTGGAGTGATCTGGGAAGACGGGCGGAGGGGAGCGAAAGGAGATGCGGGACCCACAGGGAGGGAAACGAGGTCAGCCCCACATCCTCCTGCTGGGACCCGAACACCCATCGCAGTGCCACAAACAGCAGCAGAGTTGGCCTGAGAGACCCCCATACACACACACTCCTACACACACAACACACCCTTACACACACTCACACAGACACACAACTCATCCTAACCCCCATACACACAGACAATACACAAAACACACAACACACCTTAACCCACATACACAAAACACACAAATACACACAACACACCCTCACACACACACAAACATGCCCTAACCCACATACACACGCAGACAACACACAAAACACAACACACCCTAACCCGCAGACACACACGCAGACAACACACAAAACACAACACACAACACACACACAACACACCCTAACCCACAAACATCCACAAAACGTACAACACAACACACCCACACACAACACACCCTAACCCACATAGACAACACACAAAACACACAACACACCCTAACCCACATACACAAAAAACACACCCTAACCCACCCACAGACACAACACACCCTAATCCACAAACGTCCACAAAACACACAACACACCCAACACACCCACACACAACACACCCTAACCCACATAGACAACACACAAAACACAAAACACATGCAGACACAACACACCCTAACCCACATACACAGAACACACCCAAACACAGACACACAACACACCCTCACACAAATACACAGCCACACAACACGCCCTCACACACAACACACACGTACACAACACACACAACACGCCCTCACACACAACACACCGTAACCCACATACACACAGACAACACACAAAACAACACACGCATAACACACGCTAACCCACATACATACAACACACAAAAAACACACCCTCACACAGACACACCCTAACCCACATACACACCACACACCCTTACACACCCACTCACACACAAAACACCCACAACACACACCCTCACACACACACAGAACACACCCTAACCTACATACCCTCAACACACACCTTCACCCACACTCTCACACACGCACACAACACACACACCCACACACACACTCACCCAAACACACAAAACAACACATCCTCACACAGGCACACACACCCTCACTACCATACACACATTCACACAACACACACACAACACACCCTCACCCACTACACACACCACACACACACCCTCAGCCACATACACAACACACATATACTCTTTCACACAAGCACACACAACTCAGATTTACACACAACACGCACATACACACACATAACATGCACATTCACACACATATACTTACACTCACGTACACTTACACATATACTTACAGTCTCACACACGCAACACACTAACACACACACGTTCTCACACACATACACACACTGATACACACATAAACACACAGACTCACACTCGCACACACCCATCCACACTCCCTCTCATTCACAGACTCACACACACTCCCTCTTATTCTCACACACACACAGACTCACACACACTCCCTCTCATTCTCACACACATCCATACACTCACTCTCATACACTCTCTCACACACACACTCCCTCTCATTCTCACACACATCCACACACTCACACTCTCATACACTCTCTCACACACACACTCCCTCTCATTCTCACACACATCCACACACTCACACTCCCTCTCATTCTCACACACATCCATACACTCACTCTCATACTCTCTCACACACACTCCCTCTCATTCTCACACACATCCACACACGCACACTCTCATACACTCTCTCACACACACACTCCCTCTCATTCTCACACACACTCACAGACTCACACACACCCTCTCATTCTCACACACATCCATCCACTCACTCATACACTCACACACACACTCCCTCTCATTCTCACACACACTCACTCTCATTCTCACACACATCCACACACTCACACTCTCACACTCTCACACACACACACACACTCCCTCTCTGACCTTCACTCAGGTCCTTCTGCTGTTTCTCCAGCTGGGACTCCAGCGACTTCATCTTTCTTCCCACATTGCCTCCTGCGGGAGAGACTCGCTCAGCGTCCCGACAGCCCCAGCCCCCCAGCCCCAGCCCCAGCCCCGCCTCAGCGCCCTCACCCTGGGTGCTCAAGCCCTTGACCTGGGCCTCGGTGCTCGCCGTGAAGTTGCTGAACGTCTCTCTCAGGCCCCGCAGCTCCCGCTGCAGCTGGGCGTCTGGCCAGGAGAGGGTGCAGAGAGAACAAAATGGGAGCGCTGTGTCCACCACCACCGCACCCACCACTCCTTCGCCACGGTACCCCGTCAACACCCCCCAGTGTTGCCCCCTTCCCTGCCCACCCCTGGGGCACCCACTTTGGGATCCGATCACACAGACAACCACCAGCAGCAGGAGGCTGAGGCCCAGGGAGAGCAGGAGGAGGCGAGGGCCGGAGCAGAGACGCCGCAGGAGGGACTGCGGAGGAGGTGGCCCTGCGAGAGGAGGGGGTGTCAGGAGCGCGGGGACAGAGGGGAGCCTGGCACAGCTCCGGGGTCCTGAAAGGGGAGCAAGCTAAGGCGGCCCTAGTAGTCTAGGAGGAACCATGCACATGAAAAAAATGCGGGCGGTGGGCGACCCTGCAGGGCCAGAGGCAACTGGAAAGCGGGGAGAAAAGAGGGCTGGGGAGAGGGGCTAAGCGCTGAGCCGCCCCATCCCACCGAGGCCCTGAGCTTTTGCTGACACCTAATGGCATGACTGTGTCACTGCAGCCAATCCAGGAGCCTCAGTCCACCCCCTCCTCCCGCGCCTTGCAACGCAAGTGAGTGCCCCGCGCCTCGGAGCCGCTGCTGCTTCCCCTGAAAGTGGGAAAAGGCGGGAGGTGTCTTTCTCTGTCCGTGAATTCCACTCGTCTTTGGCTGCGCGCAGGGAGAGAAGGTGCAATAGCTACCCTTCAGGCCCTCAAGTCTTCCACCCAGCAGGGGGAAGAGACACGTTAGCCCTGTGTCCTGAGAGTTGGAGGGTGGGGGGCCGTCCCGGGGCTCTCCCTGCCCTCTCTCCTCCGCTGCGGACCCTCCTTCCGTCAAAACGCGCTGCACCCCATCCCCCAAGAACTTCAGCCTTGCCCAGCCTAAACAAGTGCCTGCTCGGAGGACAAAGAAATGGGTCAAGGGGAATTTGCTTTTGAAGCAAGAGGGTGTCGTTCTCCCTCAGGTCAGAGATCCCTCATCCCCCGTCACAGAATCCTCAGACCCTTCGCAGAAACCTTTGCCCACTTCACCAACCTGATCACTGACACACACAGGCACGCGCACACGCGCACACGCACACACACGCACGCACGACCAGGGCTCCCTGGGTGGTGTTGGAAGGGGAAAGGAAGAGGGGTCTGACTTCGTCATAGAAAGCCAACAGTGACCTCATCTCTCCAACTTCCAGCTGTTCCCACATCCCCTGGGTCCACCCCCGAGTGCCAGGAGGCACAGGAAAGCTTTGGGCAGCTGTCACCAAGAAAGGGACTCCAACTCCACACTCTGCCCCTCTCTTGAAAGGGGCAGCTCCGACGCTTTTCTCAGTGTTGGGAGAGGGAGACAGACGCAGAGAGAGAGCCAGGCTCACGGGCAAGAGTAGGAGCTGTGGCTGAGGGGTGGAGAACCGCCAAATTCTCGCCTTGCAGAGGCAGGGCAAGGCGGCCCTCACCTTTTCCGAGCTGATGGTGGTCACTCTCCTCATTGTCCAGATGCTGCAGGTCCTGATACTCCTTGGTCATGATAGGGCTGGTGCTGGAGCTGGGACTGAGTCAAGGCTGAGGCTGGGGCTGAGGTGGGGGCTCACCAGGACTAGAGCTGGAATGAGGGGCCCATCTTTTTACTCCCATCTGATTGACGGCTCCATGGAGACCTTTCTTCTTTCTTTCTCTTTTTTTTTTTTTTTTTGAGACGGAGTCTTGCTCTGTTGCCCAGGCTGGAGGCAGTGGGGCGATCTCGGCTCACTGCAACCTCTGCCTCCCAGGTTCAAGCGATTCTCCTGCCTCAGCCTCCCGAGTAGCTGGGACAACAGGCGCCTGCCACCATACCCAGCTAATTTTTTGTATTTTAGTAGAGACAGGGTTTCACCGTGTCGCCCAGGCTTGTCTTGAACTCTTGAGCTCAGGCAATCCGCCCTCCTCAGCCTCCCAACGTGCTGGGATTACAGGCGTGGGCCGCCGCGCCCGGCCGAGACCCTTCTTCTTTCCTCCGTCCACCCCCAGGCCTGACATCCAGAATCTGTCCTCTGATGTTTCCCACCAGCACCCCCCAATACAGCCTGGCTTTCCTCCACACCTCTGCACCCCCAGCCAGCCTCCCGCCGCCTCTCTTCCCGTTTTACTTGCTTGGGGTCTCAGGGTCTGAGGCCCAGGTTCTTCAGTGCTGTGCAGAAGCCGGACTAAGGAGGGGGGCTGAAGCTTGGAGAATGGGGGTGGGTGGACAGCCGTGGACGATGGAGTGGGAGCGGGCAGGGTCCATAGGAGGGCCCTGGGCCCCGGTGTCTCTGTGTCTGCGTGTCTGTGTGTCCAAGCACGCCAAACGTGGCATCTCCAGTGCCCGGGACTTTGGACAGTAAACAGAGGTGGAAATGGATTGGGACTTAGGGGAGTGTGGGGGCGGGAGTGGGGGATGGGTTGCCTCTGCTCTCCTCCCCAGGGAAGAGAATCATGTTGCCACCACACAGGCCAGTCACCTTACTCTTCCGTGCACCATTTGGGAGGGGTGCCAGGCCAGGAGGCGCTGGGGTGGGATTTGCCATATCCCCCCTCCCTCCCCGTTTCGCTTCCTGCCTCTAAATTCCCCAGAACGATTGGTGTCTCCAAATATCCCTGAACAGGATCAGAGGAACCGCTTCTCTGCTCTTGCCCAATCCAGGCCTGTGACCCTGGCACATGAGCTGCAGGCCCTAGTTTCCTGCGGGGCCGAGCCCCAGGCTTCCCAGCTCTGGCCTGACCTGCTTCCCTCTCCTGGGGAGTAAAGTCTTCCAAGCAGCATGAGGGCCGGTTTGGTTCGGGGAGAGGCAGGCGAGCCTCCGCTGGGACTGGTGCCAGCAAACCTCCATTCGCTGCTACTCTGTGCCTCAGGTCACTGCGTTCATGAACTTCTCTCATTATCCCCAGAGCACATCACATTTCACAGATGAGAAAGCGAAGGCCCTATAAGGTAAGAGCTTGCCCAGGGTCATGCTGCAAGGACGCAGCAAAGGGTAGACTAGAACCTGAACAGCCTGACTCCAGGCACTGCGTTCAGGCCCCAGAACCACACCCAGAGCCAGGATCCCATCCGGTTGACACAGCTGGGCTCCAGTGTCCCAGAGATGCTAAACCATGGTCCCTTACAGCCCCACAGAGCTTCAGAGAGAGCCATGTGAATTTGAATTATGCTCACTTGGAAATCAGGCAGTATTAAAGATAATCTTGGCTGGGCGCAGTGGCTCACGCTTGTAATCCCAGCACTGTGGGAGGCCAAGGCGGGCGGATCACCTGAGGTCAGAGGTTCAAGACCAGCCTGGCCAACATGATGAAGCCCTTGTCTCTACCAAAATACAAAATTAGCGGGGCATGGTGGTGCATGTCTGTAATCCCAGCTGCTCAGGAGGCTGAGGCAGGAGATCGCTTGAACCCAGGAGGCGGAGGTTGCACTGAGCCAAGATCGTGCCACTGCACTCCAGCCTGGTGACAGCAAGACTGCATCTCAAAAAAAAAAAAAAAAAGATAATAAATTTAAGCTGGCTACAGTGGCTCATGGCTGTAATCCCAGCACTGTGGGAGGCCAAGGTGGGCGGATCACCTGAGGTCAGGAGTTTGAGACCAGCCTGGCCAACATGGTGGAAACTGCGCTCTCTACTAAAAATATAAAAAATTAGCCAGGTGGCAGGCCTGTAATCCCAGCTACTCGGGAGGCTGAGGCAGGAGAATCGCTTGAATCCGGGAGGCGGAGGTCGAGTGAGCTGGGATCGCGCCATTGCACTCCAGCCTGGGTGACAAAAGCAAGACTTTGTCTCAAAAAAAAAAAAAGGTATAAGTCTCAGCTTTAGGTCCAAATGTGAAGTCATCCAAATCCTACTTTACAGTTAATTCAGTGAGAAAACAAGGCTTGAATTTTGAGAATTTTCAATGATGTGAGATATTCAGGAAACACA